GTTCGTTTTTAATCAATAACCTAGGGATAAAATGTATACAAGTTTAAATTGACAGACATCTAAACTTTAGACAGCAGAAGAAAAATACTGTACATCAAAAAATAACTTTCACACCTCAAAATCAGTTTTGTCGTTAATAACTTCTGCTAAAGTTGAAAATGTCACGCTTCTTTTCCACAGATAGAGAGAGAATCCTATTGGGCATGTACAGATTAAGTGTCATCACTCTAGCTTGTTTCTGATTGGAGGAATTGAGTGTGGTACAATTGCCCCCTGTTACAATTGCCCCCGGTCTCCCCAGTGCTTCGTCAAGGTGATCAAAGTACACTTGCATGCTTTCGAATCAGACTGTGATGTCATACACCCAGGGATGTAGTGGAGGCTAAATGCACAAATTGCCGTTTACGCACCTCCCAATATTCGGGAATTGCGTTTACCCACCTCCAAAGTGCGTTTATCCACCTTTTAATTGCGTTTATCCACCTCTAAATATCCTACTTCCTAAGACATTTTAAATTAAGCTTATGTCTTAATTTAGTTTCTTTAATTTAGTTAATTAGTATAGGTTGTTAAACCTAAGGCGAACTTTTTTCACTCATTAAAGACGGTCGCCTGCCACCACCTACTGGCGGTTTAGTGTTAAATGTTTTAAAAGTAGCATCATTCTTTCTTATATGTAAATTAAAAATCAATTTCATAACATTATTTCATGCAATTGTAATTTTTCAGTGTAAATGATTTAATTTGATCAACCCCTAGGGTAACAGCCCTATGGTGTCTTAGAAATAATTGAATTTATAGACCTTATTCAGAGCAGCGCCATGACGCGGGTATGAAAGTGAGGCGCGTGAGGGATAGATTACCGTGTTTCCAATGGCATCCGCTGTAAAAAGCTGAATAAAGCGGCTAGATTGTTTACAATTTTCCACAGCTTACACTGTCGGGAGTTTTTTGTCAACTGACATTTCTTGGAAAGATATTTTTCCAGTGTTTCATGAGGAAGAACCAATGCGAAAACACATTAAATAACAGTTAAGCCCATTGAAGAGATGCAAGTCTATCCCTCACAGCCTCGCTATCATTCTCATTAAAAATCAAAGATGGCGCTACCGTGAATAAGGCGTATTGATCAAATTTTAGGAATTTAAAATGAAATATGAAGCATACATTTAAAAAATATTGGGGGAGGGGGTGCCCTTTAAAGGTGCAGAAATTACAATATGGTGATTTAAATATCAAAGCTGATATATCAATGATGAGAATATTTTTTAAGAATAAGTCAAATTTTTAAAAATCTGAACAAGCAACTTTTTTACTCGGACAAGTGAAAGGCAGATTGACTTAGCGTATTGAAAAGCCTTAATGTCGAGCCCTCCCTATATAGCAATGTCATCAGGAGACACACATACACCGGTAGGCAGTGGCCCACCTTACCTGTGACCATGTCTTGGCCCACCAGAATTTATAGTTTACCCACCTCTTCAACTACACCTCTGCATACACCAATCGTCTGTACTCTGTACAGTGCTGTTGATCACTGTCTGCTGTATGCTTTCGAATCAGTACTGTGATGTCATAGCTGCTTCTAGTTGATCACTGTATATTTTCGAATCAGTACTGATGTAGTGGAGGCTAAATGCACGTAAATGCCATTTACCCACCTCCCAATATTCGGGAATTGCGTTTGCACCTCCAAAGTGCGTTTATCCACCTTTCAATTACGTTTATCCACCTCTAAATATCCAGTAGTTCCTAAGAAATTTTAAATTAAGCTTATGTCGTTTTAGTTTCATATTTGTCCACACTTCTAAAAAATGATGAGTTGGATTTACTTAAAATATATATGCACCATTTTTGTATCAAAAAAATGTGCACATATCTTTTAAGTAAATCCAACACAGTGCAGGCCATGTGAGATCAAAATAAATCTTAGTTCTGTTAACTTAAAATTTAAGCTCATTTATATATATAAAATAAGACAATTAAATCAGTTGAACCAACCATTTTAACTTAGTTTAGATCTTCAGCTTACATGTCTTAAAATAAATAACATGCAAATCACACACAATAAAGCATTTCACTTTATTATTTATTTAAATTGCATCTTAAAATATATTCAAATAGAAAATAGTTGTTAAAATAATAATAATAATATAGTCACAATATTACAGTTTTTCTTGGATCAAAGAAATGAAGGCTTGGTGGGCAGAAGAGACTTCTTTTAAAATATTAAACAATCTTAGTGTGTGTGTGTGTGTGTGTGTGTCTATATATATAATTATACAGTGCCCTCCACAATTATTGGCACCCCTGTTTAAGATGTGGTCGAGGACTTTTAAAAATTCTCCCTTTTTTTTAAACAACATAGAATCCAAATGCAAAAAAAAGAGAAAAATCCAACCTTTTATTTAAGTACATTACTTTGGTGGTAAAAAAAAAATTTAAAATTTAAAAAAATAAAAACTTCAAATCATGTGTCCCACAATTATTGGCACCCCTGATGTTAATACTTTGTACAACCCCCTTTTGCCAACAAGACAGCACTTAATCTCCTCCTATAACATTTCACAAGATTGAAGAACACAGAGAGAGGGATCTTTGACCATTCTTCTTTGCAAAATCTTTCTAGATCATCCAGTATCCTGGGCCCTCTCTTGTGCACTCTCCTCTTTAGCTCACCCCACAGGTTTTCGATTGGATTGAGGTCTGGGGACTGAGATGGCCATGGGAGGACCTTGAGTTTGTGACTGAACCATTTTTGTGTAGATTTTGCCACACGTTTTGGATCATTATCCTGCTGAAAGACCCAATGACGACCCATCTTCAGCTTTCTGGCAGAGGCCATCAGGTTTTTATTTAAAATGTCCTTATAGTTCAAAGCGTTCATAATGCCATGCACCCTAACAAGGTTCCCAGGGCCTTTGGAAGAGAAACAGGCCCACAGCATCACAGATCCTCCACCATACTTCACGGTGGGCATGAGGTACTTTTCGGCATACACATCTTTTGTTTTACACCAGATCCACTTAGAGTGTTTGTTGCCAAAAAGCTCAATCTTAGTCTCATCCGACCAAAGCACACGATCCCAGATGAAGTCCCAGTGCCGCTTGGCAAACTCCAGACGTTTACGTTTGTCAGTGTTAGTGAGAAAAGGCTTTTTCCTAGCATGCCTCCCAAACATCTTGTTGGCATGTAAAGAGCGTCTGATGGTTGTTTTGGAGATTTTGTGACCCCAAGATGCCACTATTTGATGCAATTCTGTGACAGTGAGCTTAGGACTTTTTTTTACTTTTCTTAGCATCCTCCTCACAGTGCGTTGTGGCAAGATAAACTTGGGACCTCTTTCAGCCTTGTTTGTCACTGTTCCTGTTGTTTTAAAGTTCTTAATGATTCCTCTAACTTTAGATATGGGCAATATAAGGTGAGTGGCTATTTTCTTGTAGCCATTGCCTGACTTATAAAGGTCATCACACATCTGCCTTACTTGAATGGTGTGTTCTCTTGTCTTTGCCATGTTGACAAATGGGTAAGAGAATTAGGCCTCTGTGTCATGTCATATTTATACCCCAGGGAAATAGGAAGTCATGAATTACTAATTAAAAGTTCCTAGATATCCTGACCAACATTAGCAACTACAGTAAATATATTTAAAAAAAAAAATCAATTACATTTTTCAGCGGAATTGTTAGGGGTGCCAATAATTGTGGGACACAGGATTTGAAGTTTTTATTTTTCTAAATTTTTACATTTTTTTTTTACCACCAAAGTAATGTACTTAAATAAAAGGTTGGATTTTTCTCTTTTTTTGCATTTGGATTCTATGTTGTTTAAAAAAAAGGGAGAATTTTTAAAAGTCCTCAACCACATCTTAAACAGGGGTGCCAATAATTGTGGAGGGCACTGTATATATATATATATATATATATATATATATATATTATTTTTTTCAAAAAACAATAAAAAAAACAATTAAATGCAACAAATTAGTCCATTATTAAATGCCTGTAAATATAAAAAAATAGTCTATTAAATAATATCTATTAATTTAAACAAAACAGAAGTTAATTAATGACTTTCCTCCAGAGGTTATGAACGAATCTCTTCAAAAAACATTTTAGCAGTAATACTGGAAAACAGTAAAGATCTACAATCTTTATTGAAGCTAAAGTTTTGTTTAAAGGTATTTTACTTTATTTTTGATAAATAATTTGAAGGTTTATTTACTGAATTGTCGCTGTCATTTAGGAATAATATTGTGCTAGAATCAAGATTGCCATTATTTAATGATAAATCGTGCACACACGGAGCTGTAGGCAATGTGCTTTCGAATTTAATATTTGTATTGTTAACGTTACAAAAGTAGGCTAACCACGCCCAAGGCCCCCTTTCCCGCGATC